ACTGCCTGCCTTTGGGTTGCAGTACAACTCCTTACTCATTAGGCTATCAAAGCTCCTTCACTGATACAAATGTTAACAATTAGTTTAGGATGTCCAGAGTGACTAGCCCGAGTTTATACAGGTAATTAATGCCTGAGCAAGGTTTACATCCTTTCTACTGGACCTACCTAAAACCAAGTAAAAACAAACTGACTCAGGTTGTCATTGTTCTGTACCATGGAGTTGGGACCAACTGATACCTGCCTGTCCAGCAAGTTTCACAAGCAGTAAATCACATAGAAGTTGACTGCTCATTTTTCTCCCACAGAGCAGCTGATGAATTTGAACCGTATGCCTTGAAGTTGGCAGTGCAGTTTCTTACCACTAGGCCACAAGAGCTCCAAATTGCCATTGAATCAGTTAAAATTATAGTGACTGTATGTGTGTTAGGGTGGAACTGTGCTCTACAAGGGCTCACAGGTTATAATCTTTCAGAGAAAGGTCACCATGTTTTTCTTCTAAGGCACCTTCAGTGGACTTAAAAACTTTTTTGTTAGCAACCATGCATGTTAATCATTTGCACCACATAGGTATAATTTTACCTAGAATTTATAAATTCTCCCCATTCATTCATTACAAGTTGGAAAGTTGAAATCACCACCACCACCTTATCTGTATTACTTTGGACAAGTCTTAGGAAAACAGTAAAGTCAATAGGTAGGAACTTTATGATATAATCTTAACCAGAAATTGGTAGAAAATTACACTTCGAAGAGGAATTTTATAATGCTGTGTATCTAGTTGGCTGGAGTATTCTTCTTTTAAAGCAAGCATTTTATTTGATATTAAGATGAAAAGGTTATGTTCAATAATTTGAATATAAGTGGCCATGATACTGATTCAGAAACATTACCATCCAGGCGGGAGCAACCAGCCAGGGCCTGTGGAGTATTTATTAGAACTGTTATTGCTGGAAACATGTAGAGAAAGGCATCAAATAAGTGCACATTTTTATGGCTCCCTGGGCAGCTCACTATCTTTATACTCGGTTGAAGAATTCCTTTCATTTTGCCTGACCCACAGACACAGGAAGGAGCCAGGTGGAGGTGACGGAAGCTGCTGGAGCTGGCCTTTCAGGAACACTACAGTGGCGTCGATGGAAGACTCTTGGAGCCTGGGAGTTTGTGGAGAGAACTTGCTGGCAGCTCACAGGGAAGGTAGAGGATTCAGGGATTCATTCCCCAATCCGACTCACTTCTCAGGGCAATGTGAGCAGTCCCCTCTGGGATGAGGTCATCTTGTTGGGGCACACAAAGGATCCTGGGGGGGCCTGGGTAGTGTATCCTACACTGAGGCTATTCACAATATTCATTCCTCCAGGCCCGTAAGGGGTAACAATGGGCCTTCTCAGCGTTACATGTGCTTATTGAGGAGACAGGGTTCAGACTCCTTTCAGAGGGACCCCCTGAGGCACACAGGCATTTATTATAACCTTTGGACCTAAGCAGGGCCTGGGAACAGCTAGGAGGGCCTGTAATTAAATGCGTTTAATCATAAATGCACAGACTGACTAGGTATTGCAGCCAGTATACATAAACCCTTCATCTCACTCTCCAAGCCCCACCCCCCTTCACATGTGTGTGTGTGTGTGAACAACAATTGCAAAGGATGCCTGATCAGTGGGGAAGGGAAATTAAATTACTTGAAAACTTGTTCCCCCACTCCCTTTTTAAATTGGCTTCAGCTTACTCGAGTACTCAAATACGGTGAGGATGTGCTAAAAGGCTGCTTCTCGACTTATCCTCATGTCGATGGGATGTGTGAAGGCTTTGGGGGTCGGGGACACTCTAGCACAGTGACACTTAGAGGGCCTGAGCTGCCTAGGTCCCCACTTCTCTGAGTGCCTGCGTGCAAACAGGCAGAACTTCTGTGTATGAAAAGGGAGAAGGAGAGCTGGGAAATGTGGTCAGTTTACTAGAACTGAGAACACCAGGGAAGAAAAGGGGTTTTATGTGAGGTGAGGCATGGAGTGAGGGGGCCTAGTTATAGCCAATGAAGTGAGGGGATTTTGAATTCCATCTGGGCCTCTACCTGACCCTGCGAGCTAGGCGAGCTACTTGAAGTTCTGTAAGTCTCTGTCTCTTAATTTGTAAAATGATCATGCTAATGGACTTAAATAATAAACCAATTGTCTGGCTTTTCAGAGTACATGAGCTGTTTTAGAGGAAGCTTTGTTACTGAAAAAGTTATTTAAGTTCTCTGAGTCTCACTTTATCTGTAAAATAAAGTCAAAGATACTTGTTCTGTGTGCACTGCTCTGAGGACCGAGTGAACAACAACAACAAAAAAATGTGTGATACAATTTTTGGTATATAAATCCTGACTAAGGTTTGCTGGTGGGGCTATGTTTTAGTCCTCTAAACTAACTGAAAGGTTGATGGTTTGAATCCACCCTGTAATTCCCATGGGAGAAGACCTGGCAATCTGCTCCTGTAAGGATTACAGCCAAGAAAATTTGATGGTGCAGTTCTACTGTTACCCAAAGTTATTTTTAGTCAAAAATCAATTTGATGGCTCCCAATAGCAATAATTGGCTATTATTGTTATTCCTCTTCTTATTAAGAAAGTAGTTGCATTTTAAAAAGATACTTCAAACCCATTGCCATGGAGCCTGTTTCAACTCATAGCAACTTGATAGACAGGTAGAGCTGCCCAGTAAGACTTCTTAAGCTGAGTACTGAACTGTTAACCAAGAGGTCAGCAGTTTAAATCAATCAGTTATTCCAAGGAAGAAAGCTGGAAATTAAAAAAAAAAAATTAAAAGTTTAATCCTCTCACTAAAGATTAAGTTGTTAACAACTACAGTTTCCTTGGCTCCATAATCAACACTCTTGGCACCAGCAAACAGGAACTCAAATGACGTCTGGGAAAATCTGCTGTCAGGGACATCTCCAGGGTACTGAGATGCAATGATGTCAGTCTAGAGATTAAGATATGCCTGATCCAGGCCATGCGTGGTTTTTGCAACTACTTGCTATGCATCAGAAAACTGGACAAAGACTAAGGGATGACATAAGAAGAATCGAAGCCTTTGGGTTGTGGTGCTGGAGAAGAGTCTTGAACATACCAAGAAAACAAATAGGTTTGTCTGGGAGAGGGGGAAACCAAGTTTCTCTTTGAAGGTTAGGATTTTGAAGCTTCATCTTACATACTTTGGACACATGGCCAGGAGGACATCATTCTTGAAAGGGTGGAGGGATAGTGCAGGAGAGGAAGACCCTGGATGAGAAGGATAGATGCAGTAACTGGGACAATGAGGATAGGTCTATCGGAGTCAGTGAGACCGGCTCAGGACAGGGCCGGCTTCAGAGCTGTTGTACATAGGGCTGCTATAAGTTCCAGGCAACTCAACAGCACATAACAACAACAACAACAACAACAATCCTCCCATTGAAAAAAAGATGACCGCATCTGAAATCCAGTGGAGGGTCACCATGAGTTGGAACTGATGTGATGGAGCTGGGCTAGATTTGGTGTTGATCTTGATGGTAGCAGATGACATCTTTCTTCAGCAGAGTTGTTTGTGGGTTTGAATCTTTGACTGTCTGGTTAGCGGCAGAGCCCTTAACCACTGTGTCATCAGGACATCTTTGAAACTGTTTGTATCCCTGGGTGAGTCAATACACAAGCAAGAATCTGGCTAGGAAAACAAGACAAGCTGTGTGCATTCCCTGGAAAAAACACCAGGAATGGATTGCGTCGACTATTTGACAGGTCATGTAAGGAGACAGGGTGATGGGGCAAATTGAGTGCTACCTTTTCTACTATCCTATAATTAATTACAGTGAAATGACGAGGTAGCATTAGTCAAGGGGCTAGTTTCCTCAGTACACACACACTGATGTACTGGGGCCTTTTTAATGTTGCTTTGCCATCCATGAGAAGAAAAGCTTTTATTACATGGTTAGATAGAGACACTTCCTGCTGAAGCACTGATTTCAAACCAAGTGACACTGAGCCTATTGGCAAATAAAGGTCAGCCCAGTGGGTGGGATTACACTGGGAAAGAGGAAAGAATGCAGCTTGCATTTAAAAAAGTAATTTTGACAGCTCAAGAATATCCAATTACTATTTGGCTTAAACACAGTCTTGCTTTTACTTTGTGCTAAGTCATTTTTATGTTAATACTACCATTAAAATTTTTTTTAAGCATTTATGACTTTGAGCATTACATATGAATACCAATGGCGACCAGTGTGACTTTGGAGGAGTTCTGGGAGAATAAGAAGGAACAGGAAGCCAAGTAAGACATCCTTTACCCTCCCGCCCTGGCGGCTTGGAGAACAGGACCTTTACTTCTTATTTAAAGAAACTTTAAGGAATCATTTGGGAAGGAAGGCAATCTAAAGACCCTTTGATTCCTTTTGGCTTTGGCTGAGAAGATGGAATTATTGAGAAAACCCAGCCTTTTATAAAACACTGCTGTTGGAAAGCCTTCAGTGAGTTACATACTATATAATCATTGTTTGGTGGGAGAATATAAAACTAATTATTGGACAGAAGTATGTTGGGTGGGGTTTGGACAGACTTAGCATCAAAGGCTTAGTTTGATGGAGTCCCTTTTGTGATTGCAGATGACCAGATAAAGCATGGAGGTGCAAGGCAAGGTATTTTCTGTGCCTCAGACTTCTGGAAACAGAAAACCCACCGTAGTTAAGATTACCTAACCTATCCTAGTTCAAACTCTGACCTTTTATAGAATGCAGGCCAAGTCACTTCCTCTGATGATTTCTAAATCCAACAGGGGTTGTGAATTTTCATGTGCAAGCCTCTCTGACGGCTTTCCTGAATCCTGATTACTGGACAAGTGTCAGCGGACCCCAGGGTGGCAGGATCCAACAGCCACTGCCAGGGTTCAGGGCACAGAGGTCTTCTTTACCCTCCACTCTTTATTCATATCTTATTTCAGATGCAGGGGGCGGAGAGGCGGGTGTCACTGGGGTGATGGGGGGAGGCGTTTCTTAAACGCTCGACAACATCGTGGAGGTGAAGATCTGTTGTAAAATCTGAGGGATCTCCTTGGTATCCATGGCAACGAAAGACCGGCCGGCTGGTAAAGTCCTCTGAAGCCTGCGGGGGAGGAAAGGGAAAGAGAATTACCATTGCAAATTGGGTCCCTCTTCCACCTCCCAGGCCTTCAAACGAAAAAACACTGGATCCCTTCTTAGGGAAGGAAGTTTTTGCTTTTTAATACCTTGCTGGCTGCCTGCAATTGAATTAATTGGCTGTCACCAGGTTCTGAAAGGCTTGGAAGAGCAATGGGGAAGGACACATTGAAAGCAGGGAAGGTTTTTTTCAGTGAGAAAAAAAAAAATCAGCCAACGAGAAACGATTCCTCCCCCCCCCCCCCTTTTACTACTATCATTTCCTGGTATTTTGTCCTCTCTGGGAGAACCGAGTCCAGGGACCAATCTGGGATTAGCTCACCTGGGTCCCCCAACAGGCTGGCCTCCTGCTGCACTTTTAAGTGCTTTTCCTTTCTTAGAAAACTGGCTTCCAAAAACGCAGCCGCCAAACCCCAAGTGGTTCTTGCTCTCTCGCTTTTTTTCCATATTATACAATGTGAAATGCAATCTGAACTATCCAGTTGCTGCTCTGAAGACACGGAGGTTATATAGGCTTATGGTAATTTTTCAAATGCCAATTTATCATTTGGAACAAAGGGCCATTTTAAAATGCAATGAAACAGTAAGACACAAATCTAGCCAAAAGAACGCCTCCTTTCACTGTGCCAACGGAGTTAGGTTTTGAAGTGACATTTAATAAAAGTCCACCATCTGAGCCGTATCATACATTTGGCATGCCTGGTGGACCAGCTAATTCTGCGGCCTATCTTCGGCCAGTGGATGTTGGACCACTTCCCTCGGAAACCACAAGGGTATTATTGTACTTTCTTTAAGCATTCAAACAGGATCTGTTCACTAGAAAGACAAAATAGGCATTTCAGCCTCAACCAGCATTCACTGAGCTTGCCATCTGCCTGCCTAGTTCTTGGCTGGGGCTGAGGAAATAAGGCAGAAAAGGTTTGAGTTATCAAAGACCCCAAAGTTCCATAAGAGGCTGTGTCCTTAGGCTGAGAAAAAAGCAATGCTGGTTTTTAATAAAACCTACGGTAGTAAAAACCAAACAAACAAAAAACCAAAACTACAGTACTGATGTGATACTGGGCCCATTCTCAATTTTACTCTGCAACCCTGCATAAGGAGAAAGGAATAATTAGCATTTTGGAAACAAGAAATTTCCTAGTCTTTTTATAAGAGAGATGGAATAATGAAAGGGCTCATAGCCTTTTGTGGTTTAGGCAGGGATTTAATTTTTTTTTTACTAAGAGATACACTTTCATTTACATTTTACTGATTCTTACAGGTTATGAAGCTGAGGAAAACCATAAGCTTTTTCCATTTGCAATTCCAAAAGTAAATGTCACTATGTTTGAGTCATGAAAGTGTTTCCAGATTTTTCCTTTTAGATCATCCTCAATTTTATTTATCGTCTGACCATAAATTTCTTTACTGAAGAAAATTTCCGGAGCAGCATCTTACACTATATGATGTCTTACATTGTCTCCAAGTGTTTTGGCTGAGAAAGTCTTGTCTCCCAGTAAGAAAAAACACAGGCATACTCTTTCTCTCACATGCGTGTGCGTGCACGTGTCCATATACTCACTCACACACTCATACTCTCTTATTTTAATAGTAGATGTTCACTACTTTGAATATGATTTGAACATGAACTGATAAGACATGAGTTTGGGAAGTTGATACAAGGTTTCAAGTACTATCTGCCTTATTAGTAGACTGATGAGCTTATTTATTGTTTGTTTTATTACTGGTTTAAGTAGAAATGAAAGAGAATTCATTTAAAGCTATGATAGCTGTGTAAGTACATCCCTCTCAGCCTGAAGGAGTGACTGGGGCTTCTGGTTCTCATCCACTTCCCCAGTGGCCCTGCCTTCCTGAACCCCTGCAATGCCCCGCATCAGGTCCTTCTGTGTCTGTACCCCCTCACATTCTTAAATTGCACTTACCTGGTTGCTTGATCACCCAAGGATCCAATGAAAATGGCAAAAGCATTGACTTGCGGGTTACTTGTCAGTATTTGGGTGAACCTGTCAGGATGTATTCCATAGCGAGACAGATTCGCATCGCTCAAGACTATGACGAAGTACTCATCAGCCTCTTCCTTAGCAATTTCTTTGATGGCATGTTCCGTCCCCTCTAAGGTATGGTCCCCACTCATGCAGAACTGGGCGTGGGCGTGCATTGTCTGGGGGGCAAGAGACATGGCACAGAAGTTACGGTTGAGAGACTTCTTTTTAGGGAACGTGACAGTTTTTCTATCAACCATGAGAACACAGAAGCACCTAGAGTTTCTCACAAGGAACAGTCTCTTCGGGAACTCAATTTGATTTGTGACTTTGAGAGACACCTGTACACAGTGATACGTGTATTCACTACAGACATGCATTAAAATAGGAACGTTCTATCACCGTTTACATACACTTTAAAATGAAGCTGCCATTTAAAGTGGAAAAGGTGAGAAGAACAAAAACAAAACAAACCAATCCAAAACTTGGTATTCCTATTGGAAGATGGAGATGATACAGGAAAAAGAAAAAAGGAACTGACACTGATTTTCCAACAAATTTAGTCCAATAATGAAATACTGTAGTCACATCAGTAGCAATTACTTTAAAATGATGGTATGTTTGATTCTACTGAAGATCTAAGTATAAGGAATTCAACTGACCGGGAAGTACTGAGAAACACATAAAATGAGGGTCAGAGAGTAGCTGGCAGAGGCATCATTTTCTTCTGTTGGAATACCTCAGGCTGGGAAACTATGGACATAGGCTTTGGTATAGGACTCTGAAAATATGCAGTGAATGTATTTTATCTGTATAGTGGATAAAAAAAATGGGCATGATGATTCTTTCCTCAGTTTAATACCTAAAGTTTGCCAGACAGAAGGCTTTTCTCTTTATTGCATCTGCTGCTTCATCAGTGAATCTTCTCAGTGTTCAGGAGTCACTTGATAGAATCGGATAGACTTTTTCAGAGAACAGAGATAACTGAGTAGCTTTACCTTCAGAATTTCTAGTCTTTGCTTGTTATCCTTGGGAACTTTGTTCACTGGAACCAGGCTAATGTTGTAGGCATCCCCAGAGTGGCCAACGATGTCATACTACAAATGAGAGAATCACAGAGTTAGAGTCCACTAACAATTAACTCTCTGGACCAGTAAATTTCCAACTGTTTGGCTAAAGGATGTCCAACACGTGGCCACAGAAAAGTGCAGAGAGATGGATGTCTTATTACAAAGGCAAATCAATTTTAGGCGCATTTACTTCTGCTTTACATTCTTCTATGAATTTGGCTCTCCTGTAGAAAGTAAAAGGAGTGATCGGGGTTTCAATGACCAAGAATTCCATTCTCAACTTTCAAGAGATATGTTCTGATTTACAAATAATGTCTACAAATGCAGTGGCAGGCAGAATCTAAGATGATCTTGGAGATTCCTGTACCCTGGAGGATACACTCTTTATAACCCCCTTAAGCCTGAGCAACACCTCCCCATATGATAAGACATCATTCAGTCACACATGTGATTATGTTACATCAGCAGAGAACTGCGAGAAGTCCAGGCTGGGTTTAGAAGGGGTCGTGGTACTAGGGATATTGTTGCTGATGTTAGATGGATCTTGGCTGAAAGCAGAGAATACCAGAAGAATGTCTATCTGTGTTTCATTGATTATGCAAAGGCATTTGACTGTGTGGATCATAACATACTGTGGCTGACTCTGAGAAGAATGGGAATCCCAGAACATTTAATTGTGCTAATACAAAACCTATACTTGGACCAAGAGGCAGTAGTCAGAACAGAGCAGGGTGACACTGCATGGTTCAAAATTGGGAAGGGTGTACGCCAGGGATGCATCCTGTCTCCATACCTTTTCAACATGTATGCAGAGCAGATTATCTGAGAGGCTGGGCTCTATGAGGAGAATTGTGGCATCAGGATTGGTGGAAGGTCTATTAACAATCTGCGTTATGCAGATGACACAACCCTGCTTGCTGAAACTGAGGAGGACCTCATGCACTTGCTGCGAAGGGTCAAGGACTGCAGCCTTCAGGATGGACTGAGGCTCAATGTCAAGAAGACAAAGATTCTCACCACTGAACCAATTGGCAGCATCAGGATGGATGACGAAGAGATTGAGATTGTTCACAGCTTCAGTTTGCTCGGCTCCACAGTCAACACTCTTGGCACCAGCAGTCAGGAAATCAAAAAGCGTATTGCGATGTGAAAGTCTGCTGTTAGGGACCTCTCTAAAGTACTCAGGAGCAACAGCGTCTCTCTGGAGACTAAGGTGCGCCTGATACAGGCCATGGTCTTTGCAATCGCTTGTTATGCATCAGAGAGTTGGACAATGACTACGGAGGACAGAAGGAGAGTGGATGCTTTTGAGCTGTGGTGCTGGAGAAGGGTACTGAAGGTACCCTGGACTGCCAGGAAAACAAACAGATTCATCTTGGAGAGGATTAAACCAAGCTACTCCTTGGAGGCAAGGATTCTGGGGCTTCGTCTGACATACTTTGGACATGTTGCCAGGAGGGACGGGTCCTTGGAGAGGGACATCATGCTTGGGAGGGTTGAGGGACAACGCAGGAGGGGAAGACCCTCTATGAGATGGATTGATTCGGTGACTGGGGTAATCGGGATGGGTGTGTCAGAGGCGGTGCGTTTGGCGCAGGACAGAGCAGGGTTTAGGGCTGTTGTGCACAGGGTCGCTATGAGTCGGAAACGACTCAACGGCACATAACAACAACAACATGGGTTGGGATTAGGGGAACTCTGGTGGCTTAATGGTAAAGAAGTTCACTGTCATCCTAAAGGCATGCAGTTCAAAACCATCATGGGAGAAAGATGGGCAATATCCTCCCATGTGATTTACTGCCTCTGAAAATCTGCTGGAGGGTCAGCTATGGGTCAATTTTAACTCAACAGAACACAACAACCATCACAACGTGGGGGAGAAAAGGATTTTAAAGATGCAATTAAGGTTATTAATCCGTTTACTTTGAGTTATTCAAAAGGGAAAGGCCTGACCATGTAAGGCCTTGAAAAGTAGGAGAGATTTTTAAGGCAGATAGTAGAAAGGAAAGAGGTTTGAACGGTGAGGGGCATTTAACATGACAGAATTTGCTCATGGCTGAGGTGAAGGGGATCATATGCCAAGAACTGCTTTCAGGAGCTGAGAGTGACCCTTGGCCAAGAGCCAGCAAGGAAACAGGGACCCGAGTCTTACAAAAGTAAGGAAACAAATTATACCAACAACCTGAATGAACGTGGAAGATGATTTCCCCTGCCCCCAAACTGGACCCTCTAGTAATAGTCCAGCTCAGTCAACAACATGATCTTGGCCTTGTGAAACTCTAAGCAGAATTGGGTCTGCTCAGACTTTCCCACTACAAAACTATAATAAATGGGGGTTCTAATAAGCTATGATGTTTGTGTTAATATGTTAGGTAGAAATAGAACTCTCCAACTCTTTAGACTGTTTTGTTCAGAACCGCTCAGTATATGCTCACAGAGAAGTACGGAGAGACAGCTAAGTGTTTCTTAGCAAAGGCAGACAGATTACAGGATCATTTGCTTCAAATTTAACCTCTTGTCCATTTTTGTTGTTGTTGTTTGCCGATGAGTCCAAAGTGACTCATAGCGGACCCTCCAGCAGATTCTCAGAGGCAATAAATGACACAAGAGGAGACTGCCGATCTTTCTCTCCTAGAGCAGCTGGTGGATTTGAACTGTTATTACTTGGGATTGCACCACAGCTTCTTACCACTAGGCTACCAGAGCTCCCTCTTGTCCTACAGAAAACTAATAAACCCAAACCAAATGCACTGTTGTTGAATTGCTTATGACTCATAGTGACTCTTTAGGAATGAGGAAACTGTCCCATAGTATTTCCCAGTTTGTGAATCTTTACAGAAGCAGACAACACCACCTTTCTCCCATGGAGTGGCTAGTAGTAATCACTGCCATGGAACTAATTTATAGCTCGCCCTCCGCTCCTGAGGAGCCCTTATTGAATTTGAACTGCCAGAGAGGCTCACTCTTTGATTTACAGTCCCTAAAGACTATGACCAAGAGTTCCCTACATGTATGTGAAACAACTAAAAGTGCCATGGCTTGGGCTGGGTATACCTTAGTCTTTAAACTGACATCCTTGCTCTCTAATACTTTAAAGAGGTCCTTTAATTGCATCCCTTGACAGTGAAATATATTTTATTTCTTAATGGCTGTTAAGCTCAAGGAACTGAAGAGCAAATTCAAACCTCAAGATGCTACAATCAAGGATGTTTTAGGCAGAATGTTAAATGATCCAGGAGGCATCAAAAGAAGATGGAAGGAATATACTGAGTCATT